TGGGTCAAAGATGGAAACCTAGGAGCCAAAATGTAAATCTCTTAGAGCACATTAGGGGTGGTGTTCATGGCACTAAAACTGGCAACAATTCCTGGAAATGGCGTCAAAAACACGGGCAACAAAAGTAGGTAAATTAGACTTTGTCACCATAAAGAATTTTTGTGCATCCAAAATTAAGTCCAATTAGCACTTATTTTGTTTCTTTTTAAAAAAATTTAGCCATGCAAGTGTAATGCGCTATCTCATTGGCATTTTGATTGTTTACTTCCACCACAATTAATAATGTTGAGCATCTTTTTATGTACTTATTAATACATTTGCATATTTTCATTGGAGAAATGTCTCTTTAAATCCTTTGCCCATTTTTAATTGCATTGCTTGTATACTTTTGTTGTCGAGTTGTAGGAATTCTTATATATTTCAGATGTTAACATCTAATCAGATACATGATTTGCAAGTATTTTGTTCCATTTAGTAGGCTATCTTTCTGGTCTCTTGATTCTTTTTTTTTGCTGTTAAGTTGTATGAATTCCTTATATATTTTAACAGGTATACGGTTCATTCCATAGGTTGCCTTTTTCCTTTTGCTGATTGTGTCTTTTGCTGTGCAGATGTAATCTTACTTGTCTATTTTTGCTTCTGTTGCTTCTGCTTTTGATTTTCTATTTGAAAAATCATTACCCAGACCAATGGTATGCTGCTCCACCTGTGTTTTCATCTAGAAAATGTATACATTTAATTCTGAGTGGTTTTGAACTGATTTTTGTGTACGGTGCAAATGGTGTAAGATAAGGGTCCAATTTCTTTCTTCTGCATGTCGATATTTGCTTTGCCTGGCACCATTGTTGAAGAAAGTACCCTTTTATCCTTGTGTATTTTCAATGCCTTTATTGACTATTTGTTGATTATATATGTGAGGTTTTATTTATGGACTTTCTGTTCTCTTTGATTTGCCTGTTTTGCATTTTTATGTAAGTGGCAGAGCTGTGTTGATTATTAAAGCTTTATAATGAATTTGAAATCAGGAAGTATGATGCCTCCACATTTGTTCTTTCTCAAGATTGTTTTAGCTATTCAGGGCCATAGATAGCTCCACATAACTATATTTTAGGATTTTTTTTTATTGCTGTGAAAAATGTCACTGAAATTCTGATTGGGATAGCATTGGATCACTTTGGGTGTAAAAGCATGTTTTTTTGTGGGTTTTTTTGGTAAGGGGAATTGAACTCAGGACCTCACACTTGCCAGGCAGGTGCTGTACCACTGAGCTAAATCCCCAGCCCTGTTGTTTGCTTTTTGAGACAGGGTCTCACTATGTAGTTCAGGCCAGCCTCGAACTCACAGAAATCTTCCTGCCTCAACTTCCCAAATGCTGGGATTACAGGCATGTGCCACCATGTCCTGCTTAAATTAACTTCCTTCCTTCCTCCCTTCCTCCCTCGCTCCCTTCCTTCCCCACTTCCTTCCTGTCTCTCCTTCCCTGCCTCCCAAAAGTGCTAGAGATGGAACCCTGGGCCTTGCACGTGGTAGACAAGTGCTCTACCACTGAGCTATACCCCCAGCCAAAAGCATTTTAACAATAGTAATTCTTCCAATTCATGAACACATGATATTTTTCCATTTATTTGTATCTTCTATAATTTTTTTCATCAATGTATTATAGTTTTCATGTGTAAATCTTTCACCTCCTTGATAAGATTTATTGACTATTTTATTTTTGATGCTATTGTGAGTGGGAGTGCTTTCTTAATTTCTTTTTCAGAGAGTTTGTTGTCTAGTACTGTATCTAGAAGTGCACCTGATGTTGTATATTGATTATGCATCCTGAAATTATCCTGAATTTATCGATAAATTCTAAGCTTATTAATAAGTTGCTTTCATGGCATCTTTAGGATTTTTTTTTTTTTGTCTTTTTGAGGCAGGGTTTTGCTATGCAGTTCAGGCTGGCCTCAAACTCACTTTGCAGCCCAGGCTGGCCTTGAACTCAGTGATCCTCCTGCCTCAGCCTCCCAAGTGCTGGGATTACAGGCGTGCGCCACCATGCCTGGAAGGATTTTCTGTACCTAAGATTATATTTTCTGCAAATGGAGACAGTTTTATTGCTTTCAAAACCTTCTTCTTAAACTGATCATGATTTTTTTTCCCTATTTCTTCCAAAGTCTTTTCTGTCTACATCTTGAATTCTGTGGACTTTTCAGATTAATATATTTAGTTACAGATTAACAAATACCTTGATGCTCACATTGAGCGGTAGGACACAGGCTTCAGGACTGATTGATCTGATAACAGCACGCAGTCTTCAGGCCCTGAGTACTTTCCACCTTTCTGCTCCAAGGCCACAGCACTGAGCTCATCTTGAGGGTGCGGGTTCCCATCAGGGCCATGAGATGCTGCCAGCAGCAACTGGAGACCTGTGGCCTAGCTGAGGGCTACAGGGAGAGGAAGCCTGACTTGTTCTGCATAGAAGCTCTAGGAAAACCTGTTGTCACAGCTCAGTGGTCCAAACTGGCTTAGTGGCCGTCCACGAGCCAGAGACCAGAAAGGCAGAGTGATTACTGTGGCTGGGCTGGGCTGGTTCAAGCCGAAGGGATTTGCGTCAATCAGGGTGCCCTCCCTTCCAGCCAAGTGCTCGCTGCAGAGACCTTTTGATCTCAGCACTTCGACTGTGCTCTCTCTACTGAGTGCTGGAGAGCAGGAGTCCTCCTTCTTCTTCAGCCGCTCACTGATAAGTTCACCACACGCTTGGGTCTGGAATGACAATCAGTTCCCTTCATTCACTACCATACTCTGGCCTCTTCCAGTGGGGGAATCCGGCTTCCTCAGAGGAGGACGGAACTTGGGAGTTAATACAAGCTGTACCTCAAAGAGACCTGCCATGGATGTGTGTTTGGACCCGGATGGAGTTCCAGAGGGAAAGACAAGCAGGAGTCCAGGCAGCCTACTTTGGAAGATTCACCAGTTTGCAGCTCTAATAGCCGGAAGGCCCAAGGAAGGAAATGTTTCTCAGGCTAGGGTCTGCTTAGTACGCAGGGGTGACAGCAGAAGGTGCTGGGAAAAGCCTGGAGGCACCGGGGCCCCAGGCCTCAGACTGACTGAATTATGGTCATAAGCAGCCCAGGCATTTTGTTAGCTGTGTAAAGTCTGGGAACTGGTGCTGCGAGACGCTGCTGCTTTGCGAGCTGAGGGATTTCATTTGGAGACAAAAACAAGCTATGAAGGAAAGTTCCTTCCAGGCACCCGTACCTGAGAAACCCGTGTAATGGATTCTGCCAGTTCATGGCGAGATGTCCCTCATGTAGAAGGAGCCTGGCTTCACAGAGGCCTCTGGATGTTGCTTGTGGCAGCCTGGATCCAGGTCTAAGTGAACCAGGTTTCCCTGGTGCGTGATCAGGCCTCATCCCAGGCCCTTCACACCCAGGGCAGCCTTGCCCCTTGAAGGTCCATCCTTTGTGCCTGCCCCCTCGTTCAGTGGACTAGACATTTCCACACAGGCTGTGACTAAAACTCTGTATAAACTGTCCCCTAATTTGCAGTGACAGGCCACAGCACATCCACCAGGGCTGGAGGCGGATCTCCCATTTGTGAGAAAGCTGGGATTGGCGTCCAAAGCTTTCGTTTGTGTTGGCTTCAGCCTGGCTGGCCTGTGGGAGAAGGGAGAGCAGGCAGGCAGCCTGAGTGCTCTCACTGCCCCAGTGGCCTGGGAAGGACAGGAAGTGGCTTTTGTGAGTCAGGAACTACAGTGGGCTTCGCAGCGTCATGAGTGATGTTAGGAAGGAAAGCCCAGGAGAGCCTGATTGTAATCTGGTCATGGACGGCCCTTCTCTCCTCAAGTTCCTGTATGAATTGTAGCGATAAAAATAGAATTGAATAAAGACTCTGGGAGAGGAGACCTCCGTGGCTGTGTGTCAGCTGCAGCTAGAGTGTGACATTGTGCTGCAGGGATTTTCCGTGGCAGACGGGAGCGGGTGCTCTGGTACAAAAGAGACTTTTCTGAACTACCATTGGTCAGTCCTGATCCTGCCACCAGCCACTGGAGGGACACTGGAGTGTGTCGTTTTCACTGAGGGAGTCAGAGAAGTCGTTTGGGTCCCTTTGGTACAGTACGGCTCAGACAACCAAGGCTGAGATGGGAGAGGGGTCAGGTCACTGGAGCACGGGGTGGGGAGAGAGGAGGGAAAGAGTGGGAGAGGCTGGGGGCAGGAGGACGGGTAGGCAGGGAGGTGAGGGTCCTGGGGGTGAGGTCTGGGTAAGGTTACCTCGCCCCGCGATGGTCACCTCACTTCCATGGATCCTGTTGGTCAAGCAGACACGGATCCCTGATCCAAGGAATGGAAACAAAACCCCCAGCTCTCAGCGGGAAGAGTGTCAAAGCCTTCTGGGGGCACGTTTTAAAAACCTGATACCCCTTTGAAAGGTTGGTTGTTTCTATCCACTTGGCTTCTGCCTTTGGCCTCAGTGGCCCGCAGATTTCTTTCTTTCCTCTCTCACTGCTTTCAAAAGCACCACTGACATTCACCCTGCTATCTAATGTAGAACGTTTCAGCTCTCTCCTGCCTTGTGGGCAAAGGCTTTGGTCTAACCCTGTCCAGTCAAGGTCACAGGTCAACCTCCAGGCTGGAAAGAACCTTGGAAATTTCTTGTTTTTGCTTCCCCCTCTCACTGCGTTCTCTGCAGTAGAAGAGGCAAAGATAAATGTTATTTCACCTAGAAAGACTTGGGTCCACTTTGGTCAGAGACACTTTTCTGCCCTCTTTCATTTGTGTGAGCTCACGGTACCCTGTCTTCTGTGGGCTCCTTAGACTCCAGCTCCCTGCTCCTCTTTCCTGGCCTGCATGTTCCCCTGGCCCTTTGGGGCTTGACTGTACCAGCTCTTCTCCTCGAGCCCCTTCTCCTACATCCCCTTGAGAGTTGAGAAACTGGAAAGATTGAGAAAGAAGACTAAAAAAATTACTGGTTTTCAGCATTCATAAATTCTTTCACTTCCCTTTTCTGTTCTCTAAGTGAGAACTTCCGCTTCTGAGCCCTGGAAGCCATATTGGGGGACCCAGCCTGGGGCTAGGAGAACACAGATGTTCTTCTAATGGTGAGTTATCCCCCGCAGCTCAGTGGCTTAGAAAGAGGTTGGGAAAAGGAGGCCAACAGGTGGGGGCAGCAAGCTAACAGAGTTGGTGTTTATTCCCTACCTTTTATTATCCCTGTCAGTGTGGATTTTTGTGTTTATAATTTACTTATACCCAGTTTGATTCTGAAATCTTCTTGAAGCCAGAGATAGTGGTACACACTTGTAATCTCAGCACTCAGGGAAATTGAGGCAGGAGGATTACAAGTTTGAGCCCAGGCTGGGTAATTTAGCTATTCAGGCAAAAGCCTGTCTTAAATAAGAAAAGGGTTGGAGATGTAGCTTGGTACATGTAGGCAGGAGAGAGAGAGAGAGAGAGAGAGAGAGAGAGAGAGAGAGAGAGAGGGAGGGAGATAGGGACGGAGGAAGAGAGAGAGGGAAAAAGGGAGGGAGGGAGGGAGGGAGGAAGAGAGAGAAAGACAGAGAGAGAGAGAGAGAGAGAGAATATTCTACAAAGTAGACAAAAGCTAACTGTGAGTCATCAGGCAAAAAGGGACAAGTGATAGCTGTCAGGGACACACGACCTACGCCGTGATTTGTCAGCTTTCATATGTTATGTAGACATGATGGAGCCATTTCAAGCCTCTTATTGGCTTTGCTTTATTTCTCTTGATACAGCAGTGTGATTTCTGGGTCATGGGGTAGATTTAGTAGACATTGCCAGTGTTCTAAAATGGGGGAACTGATTTTTATTTCACAAGAAATGAGTGAGAATTTCCATGATATAGTCTTCTCAATATTTGATATAAGTAGTGTTTCTTTTTAAATCCTAAACATTTTGATGGGTACAGAGCAGCGTTTCATTGAGGTTATATTGTGCAATTCCTTGATGTGTAATGATTTTTAGCTCCTTTTATGTGCTTATTGGTCATGTGGATATCTTCTTTTATAAAATTCTTGCTATTTTGTGTATTTTTAAAATGTGGGGATTGTTTGTGTTTTTACTAATTACCAGGCATTCTTTATGTGTATTCTACATATGAGTCTTCCGTTGTGTATATGTGTTGTGAATATTTTCACATATTTGGTGACTTTTCTTTTTAGTTTCTTACGAGTGTCTTTAAGGAGCAAAAGTTCTCAATTTTAAGTAAGTGTGTCTTATTAATGATTTATTTTAGAGTCAGAGTTTTTTGGGACTTGTGGAAGAAATCTTTGCCTACTTCAAGCCAAGAAGGTATTATCTTACATATTTTATTTTATTAGTACATGTTTGCAATACATAAAAGTATACAGTAGTGCCAGGAGTGGTGGCGCATGCCTGTAATCCTAGCACTCTGGAGGCTAAAGCAGGAGGATCATTGGGAGTTTGAGACCAGCCTGGGCTACAAAGTGAGCTCAAGGCCTGCCTGAATTGCATAGTGAGACCCTGTCTCAAAAAGACAAAAAAATACAGTAGTGTATTCACCTTTGAGAGTTAGTAAATGTAGATATTGTGTCTTAGCCCTTTTTACTTCCCCTTCCCATCCCTTCTTCCCCTCTTCCTCTATCCCTAGATTCCCCTTCCCATTTGCCAAAAGTCTCCTTTGTTTTCTATAACCCAGGTTTTGTTCTTCTCTTTAAATTAATTATTCTTTGGGTTTTTCTCATATAGGAAAAATTATGCAATATTTAACCTTTTGTGTCTGGTTTAATTTACTTAGCATTGTGGTTTTAATGTGCATCCATTTTCCTAAAAATGACTCAAATATATCCTTCTTTAGGGCTGAATATCTATCATCTATCTATCTATATCTATCTGTCTATCTATCTATCTATCTATCTATCTATCTATCTATCTACCTACCTATCTCACACTTTCTTTATTCATGCATCTATTGATAGATATATAGGTCACTTCTAAAAATTAGCTATTGTGAGTTGTGCTGCTATAAACATGGGTGTTATAGTTTGTGTCCAGATGTCCCCCAAAGCCTCAGGCAGTCATAGATGGGGCTTTTGCAGTGGTGGCTGGATCTAGAGTGTGACACTGGCATTGATTCATGGTGCAATACTAGGATTAAGGGTGGGTAATTACTAAATCAGTCTGTAGATTGGTTCAGCACCACCCTAATCCCAGCAACTTGGATACAATATAAGAGACAGAAGGCTGAGGATTTAGCTCAGTGGTGCAGCATCTGCCTAGCAAGCATGAGATCCCGACTTTGATACCCAGTACCCCTAAAAAAAAAAACCCTAAAAAAAAACCAGTATAAGGGATAGAAAAATGTTTGTCCTGTCTCTTGTTATTTGCTACCTTCTGCCTGCCATGAATTGTTTTTTTCCCTTCAATTCCTGCCCGTTGAGCCACCCTGCCTTGGGGCCAGCTGACTATGGACTGACACCTCCACAAACTATGACCTAGACAAACCTCTCCTTCTTTAATTTTAGATGTTGGGTATTTTGTCTCAGCAATGAGAAAAGTAACTAATACAGATATTGGTACCAGAGAAGTGGGGTTGTTGCTGTGACAATACCTGGCCATGTAGCGCAAGAGCCTTTGAAACTGGCTTCCAGGAAGGGGAAGAAGGTTGGAGAAGCCAGAAAAGCTAAAAGGAATGGGCAATGGCAGCCAAAGAAAGAAGCCATAAGGTTACAAACACTGGCAGTACCATAGGGGTGGAGCCACCCAAACCCTTTGGAGTTCACAACTTGCCACAGATTGCTGGGGATGCTAGAAGTGTGAATTTAATATTTGTCCTGCTGGACTTTGGTCTTGCTTTGGTCTCATTCCTTGCTAACCCCACTGTTTGTAACTTTTGGAATGGTGATGTCTGTCTTGTGCCACTGAATGTTGGAAGTGTTTAACTCTCCTTTTATTTGTATAGGAGCTTGCAGCTAATAGTTTGCCTTAAATCTCAGAGGAGACTTGGGACTTGGACTTTTCAGCAATGCTGAAACTGTTAGGACTTTGGCAATTCTTGGAGGTGGACTAAATGCCTTTTATATAAAGGGATGTACATGAGTTCCTGGGGGGGTCACTACAAAATGGTATTGCTTGTTTCTAGATGCCCCCTCCCAAAGTCTCATGCAGTCATAGGGTGGCTGGATCTGTAGTGTGTGACACTGGAATTGACTCATGGTGCAATGCTAGGCTCAAGGGCACTAAGATTAAGAGTGTGAGTGCTATCAGCCCTACGTAGTTTGGATAAGATAAAAAGGACAGAAAGACACTGTTAGGATCCCTTATTGCTTTTGCTGTCTTCTACCTGCCTTGTACTGTTTCTCCTCTGTGAAGTAACCTTGCCTTGTAGCCAGCCAGTTATAGACTGAAACCTCTACAAACTGTGAGCTAAATAAATTTTTCCCCTTTAACTCTGCGTATTTTGTCTCAGCAATGAGAAAAGATAATGGGTGTGCATGGATTACTATGGTACAATGTCTTTAACCATTTTGGGAAGATACCCAGAAGGAGTATAGCTGGATCAAATGGAATTTGTAGTTGTAGTTTTGTGAGGACTCTCTATTCTGATTTCTATAGTAGCTGTACCAGTTTATGTTCCCACCAACTGTGTAGAAATGCTTCTTTTTCCCTACAACCTTACCAGCATTGGTTGTTGTTTGAGTTCTTGATCGTAGCCATTTTATCTGGAGTAAGAAGGAGTGTTAGTTTGTCTTGGTTTGCATTCCTCTAAAAACCAAGGATGCTGAACATTTTTTACATATTTATTGGTAATTTCACTTCTGGAAGTATCTATTCACTTCAGTTGTCTTTTTTTTTTTTTGATTGGGTGTTTTGTTTTGGGAGGTGTAATTCTTTTGAGTTTTTTTTTTTTTTTTTTGTTTTGTTTTTTTTTTTTTGTGAGACAAGGTCTCAGTGTGTAGTCCAGGCTAGCCTTGAACTCACTATATAGTTCAGGCTGGTCTCAAAGTCATGGAGAGCCTCTTGCCTCAGTTTCCTGAGTGCTGGGATTATAGGTATGTGCCACCACGCCCCATTTGAGTTCTTTACGTATTCTAGGTACTAGTCCTTTGACTGCAGAGTAAGTGGCAAATTTTTTCCCATTCTGTAGGTTGTCTTTTCACTTTGTTCATTGTCTTCTTTGCTGTGCAGAAGCTGTTTAAATTGATATAATCCCATTTGTTTATTTTTGATGTTATTTCTTATGCAATTGGGATTCTGTACAGAAATGCCTATGTCTTCAAGGGTTTTACCCATTTTATCTTCCAGAAGATTGTGTTTCTGTTTTAATATCTAGATCTTTGATTTGTTTTGATTTTATTTTAGTACAGGGTGAGAAATATGGGCCCAGATTCATTCTTCTGCATGTGGATAACAAGTTTTCCCAGCACCATTTGTTAAAGATGCCACCTTGTATCCAGCATATGTTTTTGGCTCCTTTTATCTAACTAAAATCAGATGACTAAAAAGTGCCTGGGGTTGTTTCTGCATCATCTGTTCTGTCTCACTGATCTGTATGTCGTCTTTGTGCCAGTACCACACTGTTTTAATCCTTGTAGCTTTGTAGCACAGTTTGAAATGTGGGATTGTGATGCTTTCTGCTTCGCTCTTGTGCCCATCATTGCTTTTGCTGCTCTGGGTCTCTTCTTGTTCCATATAAATTTTAGGATTAGTTTTTCAAGTTCTGTGAAGACTGCTGTTGGTATTTTGGTTGGGATTGCATTAAATCTATATATAAGTTTGGTAATATGGCCATTTGGTTAATATTGGTTCTGTCTATCCAGGAACAGGGAATGTATTTCCATTTTTTGATGCCCCTTCTATCTCTTTTAAAAAGAATACTATGGTTTTCATTACAGAGGTCTTTCACTTCCTTGGTTAGGTTAATTCATAAGTACTTAATTACTTACTCTATTGCAAATGGTAGTTTTTCTAATTTCTTTCTTTGTGGGCTCATTGTCAATACACAGGAACAGTACTGATTTTTCTGTTGCTTTTGTATTCTGTTACTTTGCTGAATTCTTTTTGGAGTCTTTTGGTGGAACTTTTTTGGTCTTTTATGTAAAGGATCATGTATTCTGTGAGTAACAGTAGTTTGTCTTTCCTTCTTTTACATATCCCTTTTAGTTCTTTCCTTTGCCTGACTGCTCTGGCAAAAATTTTGAGTAATATACTGAATAGGAGTGGATACTCTTGTCTTTTCCTGACTTTAGAGGAAAAGCATTTAGTTTTTTTCCCCATTGAGCATCATGTTGGTGGTGAGTTTGTCATAAATTGACTTTGTCAGATTGAGATAAGTTCCTTCTATACTTATTTTTGTCAAGTTTTTTTTTAAATCATGAATGGATGTTGGATTTTGTCGAAGGCTTTTTCTGCATCTATTGAGATGATCATGTGGTTTATGTGATGTACTACGTTTATTGATTTATATCTGTTGAACCATCTTTGCAGCCATGGGATGAAGCCATTGTGGTTCTGGTGTATGATCTTTTTAGCGATTTGTTGCATTCTGTTTGCCAGTACTGTATTTTGTTGAGAAATTTTGTGTCTACCTTTTTTAAGGACATTGGCCTTAAAGATTTTTCTAATTTTAATTTTTTTGTTAAGTCCTTGTCTAGTTTTGATATCCAGGTATTGCTAAGTTCCAAGAATGAGTTTAACAGTACTTTCTTCCTTTCCATTTCATTAAAGAGCTTGATGAGTATTGGCATTAGATCGTCCCTGATTTGCTGGTAGAATTCTGTAGTGAATCCACCAGGTTCTGGGCTTTTCTTTGTTCATAAAGTTTTTATTACTGCTTCTATTTTATTGCCTGTTATTGGTCTTTTCAGAGTACCTTCTTAGTTCAATTTTGATAATTCATATGTGTCAAGGAATTTGTTCATTTCTCTAAGTTCTACTATTAGAATATGAACTTTTAAAGCAGTTTCTTATAATTTTTGGTAATATTGGTTATGATTTCATATTTCCATTTCCAATTGCACTGGTATGAATTTTTTTCTTTCCATTTTTGGACATAAGCTTGGCTAAGTGTTTATCAATATTATTTATTCTTTCAAAGGACAAAATCTTCGATTCATCAGTTCTTTGTATTTTTTAGTCTCAATTGTATTATTTTATGCACCAATCTTTATAATTTTTTTTCCTTCTGTTAGTTTCAGATTGTGATGTTCCCTTTTTTCTAGGACCTTGAAACACACCATTAGGTTATTTATTTAGGATTACTCTATTCTTATGTGTGCATTCACCACTATAAACTGCCCTCTTAGAACTGGTTCATTGTGTTTAGGCATATTGTGCTTCCATTGCTGTTTAATTCTGGAAACTTTTAAATTTCTTTCTTGGTTTATTGTGATCCATTGCTTGTTCAGTAACGTGTTGTTTAATCTCCATGCTTGTGTAGTTTCTATAGCTATTGATTTTTAGCTTCATTCCTCTGTGATATGATAGTGTGCAGGGGATTATTTCAATTTTTTTATTTATTTAAGCAAACTTTATGGCCAAAGAGATGGGATGGTCTATTTGGAGAAAAATTCCATGTGCTACCGAAAAGTGTGTGTATTTTGTTGTTGGTGTATGAAATACTCTGCAGTTATCTGTTGTTCATTTGTTCTGTGGTGTAGTTTAACTCTGATATTTCCTTGTTAATTTTTTGTCTGGTTAGCTTGTCTAATTGTGAAAGTGGGATGTTGAAGTTCCTAGCTGTGATAGTATTAGTGTCTATCTGTCCTTTTATGTTCAGTATTAATTTTGGTTTTATGAAATTGGGTGCATCAACATTTGATGCATAGATATTTACAATTATTATCTCTTCCTGTTGAATTGTTCCCTTTATTGTTATGTAGTGGTCATCTTTCTCTCTTCTGATCAGTTTTGGCTTGAAGTTGTGTCTGAAAATAAGACTGGTGTTCCTACTTGCCTTTGGGCTCTGGTTTCTAATTTTTTCCTCTTTAGCTCATGATCCTTTCAGAGGAGTTATATCTCCTATAGGCAATATGGTTACATTTTGGTTTTTGATCCAATCTGGCAGTCTGTTTTTTTAATTGAATCCAGGCACCTTGCTAAAATTACTAATTAATTCTGATAGTTTGTTAAGAAATTCCTTTTACATTTTCAAAGTATATTGTCATCTGCAAATAATCGTAGTTATTTTGTATATTTTTTTCTCTATTCCTATTGCATTGGCTAGGATTTCTAATAATATTGTGGTGATAGTAGACATCTTTATTTTGTTCTCAAGTTAAGTGGGAAAGTATTTGATATTGTACTTTTAAGTGTAATGTTAGTTTAGCATTTTTGTTTATGTTTATTCATTTATTAGATGATTAATATTATTTTCTATTTTTAGTTTTCTAGGAGTTTAAAAATATCATGAACAGATAGTCAAATTTTATCAATTGCTATTCTAGATCAATTCAAATTATCACATTTTTGTCCTTTTTTCTGGTCAGATATATTCTTTGATTTTTAAATTAAAGAATTCTTTCATTCATTGCAGATTTTCCCATCTACATCCATGAGAGATATGGACCTGTATTTTTCAATTTTGTAATGTCTTTGTTGAGTTTTTGTATCATGATCATACTGTCCTTTTATAACAAGTTGGGATGTGTTATTTTTTTCTTTATTCACTGAATACATTTGTGTGTGTAAGCTTGGTAATGTCCTTTCTTGAATGTGTATTTTAAAGAATTTATGAGCGAAGAAATCTGGTCTAGATTTTCTGGTGGGAAAGGTATCTTGAAATCTTGATGTTTATTTTCTCATTGTACTTTTTTTCTTTAGAATGCATGCAGTGGACCAGAATGAGGAGACTTCTTGTGAGATATTTTTCAAATACTTCAGAGAAAATAAGGTGGAGATAGCAGATGCAATAACAAAGCCATTTCCTTTCCTAGAAAGCCTTAGAGATCGCTCTTTTATCACCGACAAAATCTATACTGTAAGTGATATTACCTTACCTCAGAGTAATCTAACCCCACATTAATTTATGTTTGGTATCTTGGATTCAAAATTTAGTTTATCACTGACTGGATGAGAGGGCTTTTACGTTTTTCATGCTGTCCTTTCCATAGCACAGGAGTACTGGGTCAGTAGAGTAGGTTTCTGAGAGACCAAAGAAAATAGCTGAAGATGGCTTGGGAGAAATAAGGTTTGTTTAGACTTATTGGTAGGTACTAACAGGGGACGATAAGGTTAATTGATAGTTACTAACAGGGAAATGTCCATGAGAGAGAATGTGTATTTTAAAGAATTTATGAGCGAAGAAATCTGGTCTAGATTTTCTGGTGGGAAAGGTATCTTGAAATCTTGATGTTTATTTTCTCATTGTACTTTTTTTCTTTAGAATGCATGCAGTGAACCAGAATGAGGGGTTCAACAGCACTACACGAAAGGTCCTCAAGGGGTTTGTACTCAACAATGGCACCACTTTGCCAAAAGCCATAAGGGATGTGCACTTTACAAAAGCGCTACTCAGCAAGTCCGTGAGGGCTGCGTACAGATGACAGCACATCTCAAGAGGCCCCGTGGTGGTGGGTTAGATAAGCATTCACCAGAAAATAGCCCAAGGGTCTGGTGGTGGCAGGCTGGATTGTAGCATTCCACAGCACTCTGTTCCATGTTGCAGAGAGAGGGTTTCATAGAGTAAATTACATGGCACTGACATCATTAGCTTTATTGGATCCATGGTATGAGCAGCATTCCAAGGAGCAGTTGACTCAGCTTATGGGTTCTAGACAGCTTTAGTTTGCCTCATTTCCTGGGCCCTTCAAATAATAGTTTCCTGGAAAGTCTGGACTCTGTCCACTGAGTGTCCCCTTGACTTGGCAAGAGTCTTGGGATGTAAGATAGTGCTTCAGGGACAGGGAGCTAAATGTCCTAGTTTTTCCCAGAAATGATAGATGTGGGAAGACTGTTGTATCTTGATTAGTCATTTTATAAGATAGAAAGTGACAGAACAAGTAGAGGTCGTGACAGATGCTGCTGTTTCTGCGTGAAGTCCTTCTCTTCTGAGGCATTTGTTGGAATGGACATGAATACTAATGATGATATGATGGGATTGAAAGTGATAAACTCAACAAAATAGTGATTTATAGCCCATAGCAAAATAGAATGATACTCAAGAGGGTTGGAGCAGTACTTTATTATGATGTCTTCCTACATCAGATGAAACCCCCAGGGAATCTATACTGTTATAAAACAAATTTCTGCCTTGCTGTTGTCTCATGCACAGTGTTTAGATTCTGTTGGGTGGCTCTGAAGTCTTGGGATTCAAGTAAGGTTAAACAGTGGGCCCTCCAGGGGACATGGAGTGGGAAGCCATGCTCCCCATGTGGATCGTGCTCTTTCCTGTGTGTTCTTCAGAGCCAGGGCAGAACCTCCTCCCCATGTCCTAGAGCTTTTTCCAGGTACCTCGTACCTGAGGTGGGACATAGGAGAGGGACAGTGACCACTGTGCCATCAACAGAGTTGCTGTAAGATACACCTTTGAAATAGCCTAGGCAAGAGGAGAGCTTAGAAGTGAAGAGACATGCTCACTTGTTCTTTTAAACAGTTAATCAAGTACTTAAATTCTAAAGTATTACATGAAAAATGCTAGTCTAGCTACACTGCGAAAGTAGACTAAGTCTTCTATGCAGTGACTCCCTAGATCTCTCTTTAACCTTGGAGCTACGATTTTATACACTTTTCCCCTTTTTGAAACGATTCTCGAGAAGCCTGTAGAAACATGGTTCCTGTAGAAAGAGTGGTATACAATGTTCTCTGTCACCTCGAGGAGTCATTGGATTGGTCACTTATGCAAACCCTGTTCAGCAGAGTTCACCTGAAAGAGTATCCTGGCTTAACTGAGATTCACAGAAGCTTTGAAAATGGTAATTCATTCATTCGCTTCCATTTTGGGGTCCTTTTCTTTCACTCCTTTGCTTACTTAATAGTTATTCATGAAATCTGACCTTGTTTCAGGGCCTGTGCTGGGCAATGGGGACCTAACTGGGCTGGTGTCCTGGCCTCCTCTTTTTTGGCAGCCTTTGGGGGTCCTGGAATACTCATTCCATGCTTTAGCCTACGGAGTCCTTTCCTTCGGAGGCCACCCCTGGGAAACCTATCTGTTCCTTCTCATGTGCTCTGTCACGTCTCCTTGGAAAATGCTCGTTCTTCCTCACTGAACTAAGCCCAGACTCCCCTCTTTTCTAGCCCCATCGTTAAGAGCTGTTGGAGTCTTTCTTTCTGTCTATTTGTATTTCTCTATGGTCTTAACCTTCTTCCATAGGAAATTCCTATCTCTTCCCTAAGGTTCGTACAATTCACAGGAATATTCCATTTATAGAATTTACATTGAGATATGCTTCTACTCCTCACTGATCATCTTGTTGGGCAACCAATTACTATTTATTATTTTTACACTGTATCACCATCAAAACCTGAGCGGTTCATTGCTTCTAGGATTTTAGTGGTTTTGTTTTGTTTTGTTTATTCTATTTTTTCCTGGTTGAGCAAGCTATATTGAGTCATGAGCCATTGAAATTCAGAGTGACTCAAGGTCTTGGAGTTCTCCACAGAAGTACAAGAATTCATAGCTGTTTAATCTGTGCAACTCTCTCCCCATCCATGAACTTGTGAATTGGTGCTCTTGATCATTTGCCTTCAAGCTCTAATAATGTTTTTCCTCTGTTCAGTGCTCCAAGAAAAATATTTTTCCCAGAAAACCAATAGAAAAGAGAAGCAAAAAACATTCAACACTCAGCAAAGCTGTGAGAAAGGTACTTATAACTGGGTAAAAACTAGGTGTTCTGGTCAATGGAGAATAAAAACAGACAGAGAACTGAGCTCTGGAGAGGAATTCATGCTTGGGAGGGAATCCTAGAGGAGCATGGACAGGATAGTTGAACATTGTTTAGTCTAGAATCCAAAATGACCTCACTCCAAGTGGAATCCAGAAGCATTAGCAAGAGGCAGCAAAGAGAGACTTTCTGCCCAAAACCTGCATGCTGTGCTAGGACTCTGACTGTGAATTATGAGTCTTCATAGGAAAAGCTGTAAGGGCTCAGAACTGTGGATGGGCCTATGGTGAACAGGTCAATGAGGAGACCCTTGGTGATGGCAGAAGGAACAGATTTCACTGTGGAACTACTGTGCAGGAGTATTCAAGAAGGAAAGCAGACGTAGTGAGACACAGAGAAGGAGTGTTAGAGATGTGAGACCATGTATGGAGCCTGCCTAGGGTCAAATAAACAGGGAGGACCAAGGAATTGTGAATCTAGAGCCCAAGTTCTTAACCCTGAGCTGCTACCCATGCAATATAACAAAAAAGGTAGAAACATGAAGCAAAAGGTAGGGAAATATATGTAGAAAGAAAGATAAAGGAAACAAGGAATAGCAAGAGCTGCAGGGATTATAGATGACTCAGTCACCAGATCCTCACAGAAAGGCCAACAAGTAGAAGTCAACAGATGTGTGGAGGAATGTGGTGTGAAAGGAGGTGGGGACTAGGAAACCAGGACATCTAGGAAGTTGGGGAGGACCTTGAGGTAGGACAGTGCTGTGGACAAATGCAGGGTCACTTTGGCCGTGGAAGTTAAGACAAACCATTGTCGGGTGCTAGAGTATCTTTCAGGGGTCATTGGTGGGGTGGTCCTGTGAGGTGTTCAGCCAGCAGTGGGGTGACCCTGACCCCCTGCCTTCAGGACTGACTTCAAAAAGCAGGTAGAACTGCCAGCTCCAGATGGGCTCTGCATTAATGCTTAGAGATGGGCTCTTTTAATTCCTGCATGATAAAAACAGAAGGGAAATTGGAGACAGTGGCAAAACCCATGGTTTAACTTCTGAAATAAGGTTTTTCTAATTTGTTCCCTAGGGAACTGATGGTGCTACAGCAAGCAAGTTCATCAAGAACGACATTCATAAGAGACCAGAAGAGCAGAAACGAACAAAGCTTTATTGAGCCAGCTGATGGACAGTCTCTAACCAGGAGCCAGAAAAGATGTCTTCCTCAATCTGGGTCTCGTTGGTTGAACTACATTTTAGGTTTCCATATTAGCCATTACCTCATTTTTGGAAGGGTGTATCCTGCAGGTCTGGTCTGGCTGAGTAGATTGCCTCGATTGTTTTCATATAGTCATGCTCAGGTGGCTCCAATGATGTTGGTAAAAGGGAGGCAGGGTTGAGGGCCATCAGGTCCCCTTAGTAAAAAAACTTTTGTTTTCCCCTCTGGATCCCCTCATTCAAAAGCAAACAACTCTTGAGATGCAACAGACAAAGGAATACAGAAAAGAACATCTTTAAAACCCAACACAGTATACCAAGTCTGAGTAGGTGGGAGTTGACTAACCAAGGAATAGGGCTTGGGTACAGTAGGGTGAAGGGTTACAACCAGGGCATTCATTGCCCACAAGTCCTGGACTGGTTGATACCCATCTGTCCCAGGCTTGGTAACTGGCAAAAAGGAGTACTTCAAGGAGACTGACATTTTTCAGAGGGCTAGGGCCATACTGGTTATCCCTTTAGCCCATCTATCTTTTTAATTTTTGGTTTCCAAACCTCAGTTGCTAAACATCCAGAAGAGCCTTGAAATATAAAGTATAGCCAGAGAACTGCTACTTCTCACCAAGCATGAATGTTCTAGCAGGTGAATCCCTATAGAATGTTAACAGATAGCAATTATACAGTTTTACAGAGAAAATTTAAACATAGTATAAAATAACAGTCATGATGACATTTTTGTAACACTTAAATCTCCATTTTGGAATACAATAGTCTTTTAGTCAATTATTGCAACCTAACACGTAGGAAGCTATTACCTAATTTGTTGTCCTTATGTCATTGAAGAAATTTGTAACATTGTCTGGGCTATTATTAATTTCATCAGTTTACATAGCTGGTTGATTTTTTTTCCCTAGATATACTATGTGCTCCTTTTAAGTAGGGATGTTTCATAGTTCTAAATTCCTAATAGAGTGTCTGATCACACTTCTGTATATGCAAGTGCTTCTGAATATGTGATCAGTTAAGTTCTCAGAAAGAAAAGATACCCTAGGAAGTACCAGGAAATGTCAATTCATTCAATACATCATTACTACAGATAAACATAGAAAGCCCAGAGAAGGTAAGTAAAATTATTTGTGTCATACCACAAAAATTTGGCACTAGGAAAGCCCAAATATCATGTGTCCATGTGCAATTTAACTAAAGAAAAACATGAAACTGTTAGGTCAATGGCAAACAAAATAGACAAATTCTGGTAATAAATGAAGTGACACAATGCCAAACCTGTATAATAATACTCATAGCCAAACAGGATCTGTATAGCTTGATGTCTTGGTTACAGAATTAAGGAAGGAAAGGTTTATTTAGCTCATAGTCTGTGGAGGTTTCAGTCCATATTCGGCTGGCTCCAAGGCGGGGTGGCACATGGCAGCGGGCAACAGTTCATGGTGGCAGAAGGCAGCAAAAGTAACAAGAGCAAAAGGAAGGAGTGGCAGCAAGCAGCCTCTTTCTCTCCCTTATACATGCAAACTATCTGCCCCAGGGTGGGTGTAGCTCTCACACCCATAATCCCAGTATTGGACCTATAGATCAATCATAAACTCTAGAAGCCTGCCCCTTAACTGCATGAGGCTTTGGGGGCACATCCAGACACAAACCATAACACTGGAGTTTCTACAGAATTCTGCCACTGTAAGAAGCTTATCTAAACAGAGTCATACTCCTAATAAGCACTATGTACATTAACTATTACAATAGTAATATTATCTTTAATATATTGACAAATAGTACTTATCAAATTACAAAGGATAGTTTAAAAGTCTTAAAATCATATATACATGAAACAAAGATAAAGGAAAATATTCATGCATACCAACAGGTAACATAAAGACACTTCAAAATAAGTGAAAAGGCAAGGCATTATGAAAATTAAATTTAACTATAGAGTAATAAAGACATAAAGCAGAATCAAAGTTAGGAGTGAATTACCTCTAAAATTATCCATGAAAGAGAGATTTGACACTTTGAAAAGACCAGATGCCTATCTTTCTAGGTCATCATGTTTTATCTTAAATTAGTCCTAATAATAATTCAGATGGATTTCATTATTAATTATCATTTGGCTAATGATCTCATATTGACTTGACATGAACCTCTTATCACAAGTATCTGGAGCACAAGAGAGCCCAATCCCAGTTTCACATTTTAGAATACTGTGCATTTGGAAGGCATGAATACATTTAATACACTGTGAAATTAGCAATAACAATTTGTCATTATTTTGTTTCTTAATTTAGTTTTGTACCAATAGAATTTTTTAATCAAAAAAACCTTATTGCCTCATTTTTGAAAACTTAACCTTTTGACAATGGTCAATGTAAACATAACACAGTAATATATTTTGTTTTGTTTTGTTTTTTTCCAGTACCAGGCGTTGAACTCATGACCTCACGCTTGCCAGGCAGGCACTCTGCCGCTGAGCTAAATCCCCAACCCCACAGTAATATATTTTGAACGATATCTATTCGGCTGTCTCCCAATGGCTATGGAGATTATTGTGGTTCCTTATTAATGAACAAAAGCTGATTAATATTATTCCAGGCAACTGCTTTTCATTCATCAATCAGAGTCCTGTCTAATAACCTCTCCCCACCCTAAGAGACTTCTGTTTAATTATTTTAACAAATTTTTGATAATCCATGAAAACACAATCTCAATACTTGATACATTAAATTTGGGTAATGAGAGACTCTCAAATCATAATACATAAACAACAATAAGCATTACATTTATAAAACCAATTTTAACATCATTTTGACCAGCTTGCAACTTTTGGTGGAAGCATATCTTTCATTTAGATGATGCTTATCTATAAGCTAAAATAAATTTTAGACAATTGTTTCAAAATTACAAAAAATACAAAAAAAGAAGAAAAATTTTTTGAGCTCAAATAAAACAGCTGTTTACAGATTGGACAGAGTGACCAACAAGCAAAAAACATACAAGACAATTTGCTTATAAAATCAGAGTACACTCAAATATATTTTGGCCAAATTGAATCATAATAATTTCTTTTGACTTAGGAGTCGGGCTACTGGCTGAATAACCTCCATACATACATGCCAGTGTCTATCAAGAATCCAACAGGTTTTCCCCCTACATTTGCAGTTAACATGGGTTCCCTGGGTCCAAGGGAGTGGGACCCAGGACCCCGTCAATCTGAAACTTTCCCTGACTCCACCACAAACACTTTTTTTCCCCTCTTCTCTCCTTGTCTAGTAGCTTTGGACACTCTCACTTGAAATGTCCCTCTCTTTACAGTAGGCACATTGGTTCAGACCCAGGGGAATGCAAAGCTTTCTTCCTGTTTACACTTCTTTCCTCTTTTCCTAGTTCCCAACTGTGCCTCCTTCCTGCAAGCTGTTAACATCACTTTCCTTTGCTCCTGCTTCAACTTCCATTCTGTATCCTCTCTGTTCTGAAACAAGTTTTAGACAATCTTTACCAGCTGGAACAAATTCGTCCCTGTAATACCTTCCAATTTCTGCAGCTTGTGACACTTCTGCCACCTTATGTAGGTTAGTGGTGCCATGAGCCACAGAAAGAAGTCATTTCCTCCCAGCCCGATGGCTTTTTAAAAAGCATTTAGCGGGGCTGGGGATTTAGCTCAGCGGCAAAAGCGCCTGCCTGGCAAGCGCAAGGTCGTGAGTTCGGTTCCCGGTACCGGAGAAAAACCAAAA